AATGCAACAGCTAAATTTCATTTCCAGCTTTGATGACACAATGACAGCTGTATTGTCTTGATACTTCTGCTCTTTGCCTATTCTGTAGCCCTTTGGGTTTGGAACTCAGTTAATAGCAGATCTCCAGGCTACAGAGTGGAGAGAAACTCTAAACAAAAACCTGCACTTAAGTACCATATTTCTTTGGTTCTAAGGTGGACATTCCTCCCAACATAAACATCTCTAAGAATGGGGCATTTTAAAATCACAGATGCTTGTTATATGTATAAACAAAGCTTGTTTCCTGTAGGTGGTACTGAAATTAGTGTGTGCCTGATAACTGACAGTGTCTTAAGTAAAGGTAAAGTCTAGTCATGTCTGACTTTGGAGGGTGGTACTCATCTCCATTTCTAAGCCAAAGAGCCGGCATTGTCCGTAGAGACCTCCAAGGTCATGTGGTCAGCATGACTGCATAGAGCGCCATTACCTTCCCACAGAAGCGGAGCTCACCCTGTTCCCCTGATTCAAACCACCAACCTTTCAGTCAGCAAGTTCAGCAGCTCAGCTGTTTAACCTGCTGTGTCACCAGGAGGCCCTTGATATGTCTTACAATAAAATAAATATGGTACATACCCCTTCCTCACTGAAGCATCTTTGCACATCTAGTTGATACTGTAGGCCCATCCAGTAAATTTGAAACAATTGTAAATTTACATTTTATTGGTATGCATGATTTTAACACGTTTTAATTTTTGCTCTCTTGTGCATTTTAATGCTCTAAAGTTTTATCTATATATTTCAAGCCATGAGGAGACAAGTAAGACATAATATTTGTAGATTTGTAGGCTGGTGGTGACAATGGTAGTACTAAAAGCAATAATATCCAATTTTGCAAGAAGACATATGCCACACAAAACTTTCAAACTCCTTTTAGTCCAAGCTAAGCGCATAAAGAAAGAGTAGGCTCAAAGAGCACTGGTCATCATATTTTCTTTATGTTGTTAATTTTTTGCATTTCTACTTAGATTGAAGCAATTCCTCTGTTTGCTGTGTACCATAAGATAGAATAGGAAAAGGTTAAGGAAGAGGTAGTGGGTGAGGTCATGCAAATTCCACACTAATGGAGAGAGTCAGAAACACTGGTATGTCTGTGGTGGGTGGTATATCTAGGATGGTGGGCAGTATGGTGTTTGTGGAGGGCAGTGGCAGGGCTCTTATACATGTTCGTGGCACTCACTGTAACTTGCAATGTCATTGGAGAGCAGGCCGTTGGTGTCTCCTGAGTGGTGGGAGATAGAGCTGTTTATGGAGGCAGGAGCTTGTCTGTGTAAGTGGACACTCCTACTACATACACACATAAATATCTATACACATAACAAAAGTGCAAATATGTAAGTGGCCACCCTTCAACAAACTGTGAATCATTCTCACTCCCCCATTATGAATTTCCAACCAAAACAAAGATTTTTTGCTTAGCAAACATTGGGGGGGGGGGTTGTGTCAGGAGCAACTTGAGAAACTGCAAGAACGCTGAACATAATTATCTGCATTTAAGGGGACTGCCTTTAAACCTATGTGAGAAATGATACGTGTTGTCACAGAAATGGTGGAAAGATCATTGACATGGATTCGGTGGAAGTCTAACTACAATCTGAATAAATTACACTTTATAAGTATTGTTTTGTAAAAGGTGTTACGTGTACATCCCTTTTCCCTCTGCACCACAAAGTTAACATAGTACCACACAGAAACTGGGAATGAACTGCTTGCAAAGTTGCCATAAAGTCTCTCGTTAAACTTCTTAGACCATGTCTTCAATGAAACAATGTAAAAGAAACTTATTTACATTCATTACAAACAGCCAATCTATCCCCTGTGCAGTGAATTCACACCACATTCATGTATCTACCTCTTTCCATAGATTCTTAAATACAGTAACATTCCAAATCTGCAAAACAGTAACAAAACATAGCTGTTCTCAGATACATTTTATAGATTGTTTAGTTCTAATGTTAACAACTCTAGTATTTAGTAACAAAACTGTAGGCCAGATTTGTAGTTCAAGCCAGGTTTCTTTCATCTGAAACAATAATAACTATACAAGAGGTATCTTGTTCTGAGTAGCCAATGTGGTATAATGGTTTGAGATTTGGGTAATGGGAGACAAGAGTTCAAATCCCCACTTGGCCATAGAAAACTGCTAGGTGACACTCTCTCAGCCCCAAATAATGGCAAAGACAACCTCCCAAACCACTTCTTCCAAGAAAACTGCATGATAGGGTTGCCGTAAATTGGAAATAACTTGAAGGCATACGATAACCAACTTGTATTGTCCATACCAGTGGTTCTCAACTGGGGGTCGAACAACCCTTTCATAGGGGTCACCTAAGACCCTCAGAAAACACATATTTCCAATGGTTTTAGGAACTGAGACACCGCTAACTTTTTCCATGCGTCATTCACTTCCCAGAGGCTTATTCTTCTTCTCTGGAGGGAGGTGGTGACATTACTCAACCCTGCTCCCACTGCCCCTCCTCCATTTTAGGAGGAAGAGATGGGAGCGAAAGAGGAGAGATTTGCTTTGGAGCAAAGAGGGAAGAGGAAGGAGGTGGAGGTGGTGGTGGTGAAAAGGGAGAAGATGTGAGGAGGGGCTAAGGAGGGAGGGCTGGGGGGGAGGGCAGGGCTGAAAGGAAGGGGGAGTGACCCCCATGGCCGAATCCTGGGGAGAAAGATAAGTAACCCTGAAAATATATCCTGCATATCAGATGTTCACATTACAATTCATAACAGTAGCAAAATTACAATTATGAAGTAGCAACAAACATAATTTTATGGTTGGGGTCACCACAACATGAGGAACTGTATTCAAGGATTGTGGCATTAGGAAGGTCGAGAATCACTGGTCTATACAAATCCATCTATCGTAAAATTCCTGAAAGATCATGTACTACCATTAAGTAGGACAGGCAAAGTCAGACTCTTGCAAAGTGGATTTGGCCTGTCTCAAACTTAATGTTCTGTACAGTATAGTTAACTCCTCCAATTCCATATACTTTCCTTTGCTCAAGACATTATGGTCACTTTCATTCAAGACATCATAGTCTTTTTTGTCCAAGAATATAGCCACTTTCGTCCAACACATCATAGTCTCTTTTATGCAATAATAAAATCACTTTTATCCATGAATTATATAGTCTCTTTTGCCCAACAATATAATCACTTTTATGCAAGACATTGTAGTTTTTTTTGCCCAACAATATAGTCTCTTGTATCCAAGACATTATAGCCTCTTTTGCCCAACAATATAATCACTTTTATCCAAGACATTATAGTCTCTTTTGCCCAGCAATATAGCCACTTTTGTCCAAGACATTATGGTCTCTTTGCCCAACAATAGTCTCTTTTGCACAATAATATATCCATTTTCATCCAAGACATTCGTCTCTTTTGCCCGACAATATAGCCACTTTCATCCAAGACATCATAGTCTCTTTTGCCCAACAATATAGCCACTTTCATCCAAGACATTATACTCTCTTTTGCCCAACCATATAGCCACTTTCATTCAAGACATTATAGTCTCTTTTGCCCCACAATACAGCCACTTTCATCCAAGTCATTATACTCTCTTTTGCCCAACCATATAGCCACTTTCATTCAAGACATTATAGTCTCTTTTGCCCCACAATACAGCCACTTTCATCCAAGTCATTATACTCTCTTTTGCCCAACCATATAGCCACTTTCATTCAAGACATTATAGTCTCTTTTGCCCCACAATACAGCCACTTTCATCCAAGTCATTATACTCTCTTTTGCCCAACCATATAGCCACTTTCATTCAAGACATTATAGTCTCTTTTGCCCCACAATGCAGCCATTTTCATCCAAGTCATTATACTCTCTTTTGCCCAACCATATAGCCACTCTCATTCAAGACATTATAGTCTCTTTTGCCCAACAAGTAACCACTTTTGCTCAAGAAAGTATAATCACTTTTGCCCAACAATATAATTACTTTTGCCCAACAATGTAGTAATCTTTGTCCAAGACGATATGATAACTTCTGCCCAGCAATATAGTCATTCTTGTCCAAAACAGTACAGTCGCTTTTGAGAAACAGGGAGAAATCTGAGACCAAGATTCTTTCTTCGGTTTTCAAATCAAGGGGAAGAACCGGCATCAAATTATGACACAGAGAGAATTCCTCCAAATTTATAGCAGATGGGAAGAGGACCTTGTCCTAATAAGCAAGCCAAAAGCATAGATAAACACTCAAAAAAGAGATCTGCAGAAACGGTCTGCCCACACCCCCCCCCCCCGCCCCCAAGTGTGCTATGTCAACACAAACGTTGACAGGACCCGTCACAAAGCACAGACCAAACCAGGACTGGGGAAAACCTTCCAAAATCAACCTTGGAAAGCAAGAGATCTTGGAAACGCAGCTTATTTTGGATGTGTGGAGAAGAATAGAAGCCTCACACATTCATATACTAGTGTTTACCTTGCAAGTTGTCTTCCCACTGCAGGTGGGAAGGAAGAAGCCAAGGCTGCTTTCCAAAGTCTTATCCAACACCCTGCGACCCCTGCATCCTCCCTCCAGCCATGGGGTGGCCAAAGAGTCCCACGCAAAACACAGGAGCATCCCCTTTTCTTTATGGGCTGCAATGCCAAGAGTCCAGAGGGAAGGAGGACAGAATGCTGTGTCCAGAAGGGCATCTTGTCCTCCTTCCTTTTCCATCCAAATAAACAGGAGCATTGATCCAAGGCATCGAGCAGAAAGAGGATGTTCTCTCCCAGGCGCTTTCCACGCCCCTCTTCTTTTCCTCCCGGTATGAAGATATCATCCCACCACCCCATGTAAGAAAGCCTCCCTAGGAAGGAAACAGCACCCCTCCCCAAAATGCAAAACATAAAAGATGGGGATCCACTAGTATTGCTGCCATCAGCAAACAATGAGGCAGAAAGCCAATATAGCATAATTAGGAAGAGTGGGATTGAATTGGGGATGCTTTACTGACCTCCAGGGCATCCAGGGTGACGAAGGAGGCCATGGCGAAGCCGTCAATGATGTCCTCTTCGGGCGAGGAAGAGGGCCTCCTCTTCCTCCTTGGGGGGCGAGGCCGGGATGAGGCAGGGGGCCCACGGTGCTCCAGCTCTGAACCCGAGGAGGAGAAAAGCCATGATGGAGGGAGCAGAGGGGGACGGCGGGTCCTTCGTGGGGGATCCCCTTCTTCTGTGGTCCCCAAAGCCAGCCTTTCCGGTTGTAATCCATGTGGGGAGTGCCTGGCCCGGTCCCGTTGGGAGCGGGAGCGTCGCTTCTTGCGCCCCTCCATGACTCCCAGTCCGTTTTGGGGGACACCCCAACGTTTAGGGGGTGTCCCCAGATCCCAAGACCAAAAGGAGAGGAATGAGGGGGGACACGAGAGGGAGAGAGATGGATGTTGCTGGAGAGCCTCCCAAAGGATGGCCCCTCAATTTTGGGAATCCCCCAAACCCTTAAGACACAAGGAGGAAGGGATACAAAGAAAGAGAGGGAGAGAGACAGAGAGAAAAGAATTCCCTCCCCTACTTTGAGGTCCCCAGGAGGAGAGGGAGGGATGAGAGGATGAAGGAGTCCCCTAAGTAACAGCTCCCCAACTCTGAGGTCCCCAAGAAAATGCAAGATCGAAGGAGAGGGAGTAAGAGAGTGATGGAAAAGATATGGAAGGCCCCTAAAGAATGGCCCACCAACACAAAGAAAGAAGGGATACCAAAAGAGAGGGAGAGTGATGGAAAGGAGAAAAGGATGCTCCTCAACTTTGAGGTACCCCAAGAGTAAGAGAGAGAGGAAGAGAGTGATGGAGAGGATACAGGTGATTCCTGGGGAATGGTCCCCTAACTTTGGGGGCCCTCCAAACCCTCAACATACAAAGAAAGAAGGGATACAGAAAAAGACAGGAAGAGGGAGAGTAATGTATGGGAGAAAAGTATGCTCCTCAACTTTTGGATCCCCAAAAGAAGGAGAAGAGGCAGAAAAAGAATGATGGAGAGATCCCCAAGAGAACTTTGAGGTTCCCAAGAGAAGAAAAAAGAGAGAGACAGAGGATGAAGGAAACCCCTAAGAAATGCCCCCCAAATTTGAGGTCCCCCAAGAGAAGGAAGGAGAGGAGAGGGATGAACAGTGTGATGGAGAGAAGAAAGGAGACCCCTAAGGAATGGTTCCCATAACTTTGGAGGCCCCCCAAACCCTCAAGACACAAAGAAGGGATACAGGGAGAAAGAGGGGGAGCAATGGAGGGGAGAAAAGGTTCAACTTTGAGGTTCTCCAAGAGAAGGAGGGGGAGGATGAGAGTGATGGAGATGACAATGGAAACCGCTAAGGAACGGTCCCCCAACTTTAGGGTCCTCAAGAGCAGGAAAGAAAGGAAGAGCGTGATGGAGAGGAGAGGAGACACCCCTTAAGAATGGCCCACCAACTTTGGGGGTCCCCCCAAACTCTCAACATACAAAGACAGAAGGGATACAGAGAGAGAGGGAGAGTGATGGGAGGGGAGAAAAGGATGCTCTTCAACTTTGAAGTTCTCCAAGAGAAGCAGAGGGAGGAAGAGAGTGATGGAGAGGACAAGGGAGACTGCTAAGGAACAGTGCCCCAACTTTAGGGTCCCCAAGAGAAGGAGAGAGGGAAGGAAATGCAGGAAGAGTGTGATGGAGAGGAGATGGGAGACCCCTGAGGAATGGTCCCACTTTAGGGGTCCCCCAAACTCTCAAGACACAAAGAAAGAAGGGATATAGAAAGAGGAGAAAGATGGAGGGGAGAAAAGGATGTTCTTCAAGTTTGAGGTACCCCAAGAGAAGGAGGGGGAAGAAGAGAGTAATGGAGGACAGGGAAGATCGCTAAGGAACAGTCCCCCAACTTTAGGGTCCCCAAGAGAAGGAGGAAAAGGAGAGGGAGGAAGAAAGTGATGTAGAGGTCAAGGATGACCATTAAGGAATGGTCCCCCAACTTTATGGTCCCCAAGAGGAGGGAGAGAAGGAGAGGGAGGAAGAGAGTGATGGAGAGGACAAGGGAGACTGCTAAGGAACTGTCCCCCAACTTTAGGGTCCCCAAGAGAAGGAAAGAGGGAAGGAAATGGAGGAAGAGTGTAATGGAAGGGAGATGGAAGACCCCTGAGGAATGGTCCCACTTTGGGGGTGCCCCAAACCCTCAAGTCACAAAGAAAGGATACAGAAAGAGGGAGAGTGGTGGAGTGGAGAAAAAAATGCTCTTCAACTTTGAGGTCCCCAGGAGGAGGGGGAAGAAGAGAGTAATGGAGAACAGGGAAGACCCCAACTTTAGGGTCCCCAAAGAAGGAGGGAAAGAAGGAGAGTGAAAAAGAGAGTGATGGAGGGGACAAGGGAGACAGATAAGGAATGGTCCCCCAACTTTAGACCCCCCAATAGAGAGAGGGAAGAAGAGCAAGAGGATGCTCAACTTTGAGGTTCTCCAAGAGAAGAAGAGGGAGGAAGAGAGTGATGGATAGGACAAGGGAGACCACTTTGAAGAAACAGGCCTCAACTTTAGGGAGTCCCCCCAAACCCTCAAGACAGAGGAATAAAAGGGTGGGTGAGAGAAAGTGATGAGAGGGCCCTAACTTCGGGGATCCATTCAGAAACCCTAAAGAAACAGAGAGGAAATAGAAGGGAGAAGGAGAGTGAAAGATTCCCCCAAACCCCTTCAAAACACAAAGGAGGACCTTAGAGAGAGAGAGGGAAGAGAAAGGAGAGAGTGATGGGAAGAGAAGGAAAGAAGGAAGGAAGGCCAAAATAATAATAATAATAATAATAATAATAATAATAAACAACTCCCTATGAGAAGAAAACAGAAGGGATGAGAGAGAGGAATGGAAGGTGCAGGGTGATGGAGGAGGGATGGGAGAGGGAAAATATCAACACCCCCCTCAAAAATAAATAAATAAACAACAACAATAATAATCAAAATCAAAAGTAATGGCTGTTTGGCTGGGGGGGGGGAAGGCCAAAGAGGAAGGCGACCCTGCCAGGCTTCTTCTTCTTCTTCTTCTTCTTTTTCCTCAAGGAATGTCACGGAATGCAGGTGGGGGGCGTCTCATGAAGGCCCCCCCCTCGTCCAAAAACAAGGGCTCAATAATCCAGGCGAGGGAGAGGCGCGGGCCCGCCTTTCTTCTTCTCGTCATGTTTTCTCCTCAGGCGCTTGAAGGAAAGGGGTCGCCCGCCACACACACAAAGGAAACCAAGGCAGGGAAATGGGGGGGAAAGGAAGGGGAGGCCTAGAGAGGCTTCCCCAAATTGTGGGGGGGCGCCTCCCCCCCTCCTTCCTCCTCCTCCTCCTCCTCCTTCCTCCTCCTCGGCTCCAGGCGACGACGTAATGCCTCCCTCCTCCTCCTCCTCCCCCCCCGCCCCTCCCCTCCTCTTTTCCCTCAGAAAACGCGCGCGCCCTCCTCCTCGTCCTCGCGCTCGCTCTCGAGCCCGGCCCCGCCCCTCCCCTCTTGTCACATGACCCCGCCTTTTAGCACCCTCTCTCTCTCTCTCTCTCTCTTTCCACCACACCAGCCACTTCTTTTCTCTCGCCCTCCTCCCTACTGCGCATGCGCCTTGCCTCCTCCGAGAAAGAGGATGAATGGGTACACCAAAAAAAAAAAACCTCCCTCAAGGGGGCGTGGCTTAGATGGATGGATGGATGGCTGCAGAGTGGGAGATTTGACAGCTCGCCCTGGAACACGCCTCCTCCTCCTCCTCCCCCCCCCCCTTTTTGGGAAAAGTATTCCTATTCTGATTTCCTTCCCAGCACGAAGGTTGGAGCTAATTATGAACCTATTATTATTATTATTATCGGCCTCCATTCTTAAGTTGGAGCCACCCACAATGGACCAAATAAAAGGTATTATTACTATATTATTATTATTATTTAAATATTATTATTATTGGCCTCCATTCTTTAGATTGGAGCCACCCACAATGAACCTATTATTATTATTATTATTATTATTATTATTATTATTATTATTGGCCTCCATTCTTTAAGTTGGAGCCAGCCACAATGGACCAAATAAAAGGTATTATTACTATATTATTATTCTTATTATTATTATTATTTAAATATTATTATTATTGGCCTCCATTCTTTAGGTTGGAACCGCCCACAATGAACCTATTATTATTATTATTATTATTATTATTACTACTATTGGCCTCCATTCTTTAAGTTGGAACCACCCACAATGGACCAAATAAAAGGTATTATTACTATATTATTCTTATTCTTATTTAAATATTATTATTATTATTATTGGCCTCCATTCTTTAGGTTGGAGCCACCCACAATGAACCTATTATCATTATTATTTGCCTAGACCTTGCAAGTTGGAACCACCCACAATGGACCTATTATTACTACTATTATTTAAATAGTATCATAATTATTTGCCTAGACTTTGTAAGTTGGAGGCACCCACAATGGACCTATTATTATTATTATTATTATTATTATTATTATTATTTAAGTATTAGTATTTGCCTAGACTTTGTAAGGTGGAGTCACCCACAATGGACCAAATAAAAGGTATTATTACTATATTATTATTATTATTATTATTATTATTATTATTGGCCTCCATTTTTTAGGTTGGAGCTACCCAAAATGGACCAATTATTATTGAAATGTAATTATTATTTGCCTCAACTTATAAGTTGCAGCCATCCACAATGGACCAAATAAAAGGTATTATTACATTATTATTATTATTATTATTATTATTATTATTATTAGCCTCTATTCTTTAGGTTGGAGCTACCCAAAATGGACCAATTATTATTTAAATGTTATTATTTTTTGCCTCGACTTGTAAGTTAGAGCCACCCACAATGGACCTATTATTCTTATTATTTAAACATTATTATTATTATTTGCCTTGACTCTTTAAATTGGAGCCACCTACAATGAACCAAATGAAATGTGTTATTACTATATTGCTGTTGTTATTATTATTACTATTATTATTTAAATATTATTATTGGCCTCCATTCTTTAGGTTGGAGCCACCCACAATGGACCAAATGAAAAGTATTATATTGTTGTTATTATTATATATTATTTCAATATTATTATTGTTGGCCTCCATTCTTTAGGTTGGAGCCACCCACAATGGACCTATTATTATTCTTATAATTAAAAATTATTGTTATTGGCTTCCATTCTTTAGGTTGTAAAAAACCACAATGGATCAAATAAAAAGTATTATTATTATTTATATTATATATCATTATATATTATTCAAATATTATTATTGGCCTCCATTCTTTAGGTTGGAACCTCTGACAATGGACCAAGTAAAATATATTATTATTATTATTATTATTATTATTATTATTATTATTAAAATATCATTATTATATTCCTCAGTTCTTTAGGTTGGAACCACCCACAATGGAACAAATAAAAGATATTATTACATTATTAATATTAATATTATTATTTATTTGCCTCCATTCTTTAGGTTGGAGCCTCTGCCAATGGATGAAATAAAAAGCATTATTACTATTATTATTTAAATATTTTTATTCTTTCCTGCCTAGTACAAGGCCAAAGGATCAACAGAAAGGAGGAAACCATGAAAGTGAACAAAATCTGGCTACCAGCGTTTAAAAAGGCTCTAAAATCAGGACAGTAAATAAAGATCAACACTCAAAAAATAGGGGAAATTCCAGACAGGAAACAATCAAGGCCAGCTAACACCTCTCAATAAAGGATTCCCAAGGCAGGAAGCAGCCAGGCTTTGAAGCTGTAAGGCCATTCAGTGCAGGGCTGGCCCTGGTTAGGATTTGAATGGGAGACCGCTGATGTGTATGTATTTCAGAAGGAAGGTGTGCATGGTTTCCCGAGGTAAGAACACAAGAAAATACATACAAGCAAAAATACCCACAAGGCATTGGATTCTGTTGATCTGGGGAAGCTAAGAAGGGTCAGTCTTGGTTAGGGCTTGGATGGGAGACCACTAAGGCTAGAGAGCTTCTTTCAGTCAGTACACACACACATTTGAGTCTTCATCGAGGAGTTGTTGCGCCGATGGCTTAACTTATCTACTACGACCAATCAGTAATTAATTTGGACTCCACACTGATGCATGAATTAATTTTGAAGGGGAAGCTGTAATTAATCTGCAGTTAATTCAAGGACAAACTAATTAGGCAACAGAACCAAGTATTTGTGCATCATTCCCTGCCTTCAGGTGATCACATCATTCCACCAGGGCCCCTTCTATACTGCCATATAATCCAGATTATCAAAGCAGATAATCCAGAGTATCAGCTTTGAACTGGATTATATTAGTCTGGATGGCCATATGTCAGGAGGGATTAGATCAGTGGTTCTCCAAATTTGGCTCAAATATCTGATACGCCCAAATTTAAATACTGGTGGGGCTGGAGAAGGACTGATTTTTGTCATTTGGGAGTTATAGTTGCTGGGATTTGTAGCTCACCTAAAATCAAAGAGCATTCTAAACTCCACCAATGATGGAATTAAACCAAACTTGGCACACGCAACTCCCATGACCAACAGAAAATACTGGAAAGGTTTGGTGGGCATTGGCCTTGAGTTTTGGAGTTGTAGTTCACCTACATCCAGAGAGCATTGTGGACTCCAGCAATGATGGATCTGGACCAAACTTTGCATGGATACTCAATGATACTCAATGTGAACAATGGTGAAGTTTGGGGAAAAATAGACCTTGGCATTTGGGAGTTGCAGTTCCTGGGATTTGCAGTTCACCTACAATTAAAGAGCATTCGGAACTCCACCAATGATGGAATTGAACCAAACTTGGCACACAGAACTCTCATGAACAAGCAGAAAATACTGGAAGGGTTTGGTGGACATTGACCTTGAGTTTTGGAGCTGCAGTTCACCTATATCCAGAGAGCACTCTGGACTCAAACAATGATGGGTCTTGAACAAATTTGGAATAGATACTCAGTACGCCCAAATGTGAACACTGGTGGAGTTTGGGGGAAATAGATCTTGGCATTTGGGAGTTGCACTTGCTAGGATTTATAGTTCACCTAAAATCAAAGAGCACTCTGAACTCAGCCCACAATGGATCTGCAACAAACTTGGCACACTACCTACATGGCCAACATTGAAAACTGGTGGGGTTGGGGGGCTGTTTTTGAATTCTGAGAGTTGTAGTTCAACAACACAAAAAGGAAGAGAAGGACAGGCGGAGAGATCTTCAGCCTTGTCTGCCAAATACCATCAGAAATATGTGTTTTCTGATCGTCTTTTGTGACCCCTCCAAAATCCCCCTCATGACCCCCCAGGTGTCCTGATCCCCAGGTTGAGAAACACTTTTTTTTAGGATACCTCTCATTCTTGGAAAAGTCCATGACATTTCAGATGAGATTCGGATACTGCAAAGGCTAATGGTGAGCGTTGTTCAGCAGTGGAATATGCTGCCGCCTTGGAGTGTGGAGGGCTTTCTGTCAGGAGGGATTCGATGGTATCCTCCTCAATTGGAATGGATGACCTTTAGGGATCTCTCCCAACTCTGTGCTTCTATGACTCGATCTTATAGCGCTGGATATTTTGCAGCCACCTCTGGCATTGGTGAAGAATCATGTTCCGTCACACGGAAATTGAGAATGTAACTCATCGCTTGGGGGAAACGGCAAGAAACCTTGCCTCAAGCAAGAATAATTTGTAACCGCAGATGAGGATAAATGTTGAGACGGCCTTTAAAA